TGACCACCAGAGTCATCCTACACACCACCATCCGATGCTGTCTGGCTACACTTTCTCCTACCACCACTTTGTAGTCACTAATCTCTTTCAGATTGCCTCATCTACATAGAATGTAGTCTACCTGCATACTCCTACCTCCACTCTTATATGTAACTCTATGTTCTTCCCTCTGCTGGAGATAGGTGTTAACTACAGCCATTTCCATCCTCTTAGCAAAGCCCACCACCATCTGTCCTTCTAGGTTCCTTTCCTTAACACCAAACCGGCCCATCACCTCCTCATCACTTTTGTTCCCTTCACCAACGTGCCCGTTGAAGTCTGGCCCAATCACCACTCTCTATCACCTCATCTAACTCACTCTAGAATCTCTCCTTCTCTTCTAACTCACACCCTACTTGTGGAGCATAACCACTGACTACATTCAACATTACCTCTTCAATTTCCAACTTCAGACTGATCACCCTGTCTGACACTCTTTTCACCTCTAAAACATTCCTCACCAGCTCCTCCTTCAGGATCACTCCTACCCCATTTCTCTTCCTGTCCACACCATAATAAAACAGTTTGTATCCCCCTCCAATGCTACGCACTTTGCTACCCTTCCACCTGGTCTCCTGCACACAGTATATCTACCTTCCTTCTCTCCATCATGTCCGCCAGCTCTCTACCTTTCCCTGTCATTGTGCCAACGTTAAGAGTCCCTATTCTCAGACCTATACTCCTGCCTTTCCTCTTCTCACTCTGTCTGCGACTCCTTCTACCTCCTCTCCTTCTTCGACCAACAGTAGTCCAATTTCCGCCAGCACCCTGTAGGTCAACAGCACTAGTGGCGGTCGTTGTTAACCCAGGCCTCGACTGATCTGGTGTGGAGTTCACACTGAAGATTTGCATGTTTAAATTTGGCATGTTTTTACGCTGGATGCACTTCCTGACGCAACCCTCTCTATTTATCCGGGCTTGGGACCGGCACAGAAGTCACTGGCTTGAAACCCCTGTGGCTAGATTAGCCAAATGGCCTGTACAGTTGGTGCAATCCCTGTTCATTGATCATACTGATCAAATACTATCAGCCAATTACCACAAGTCACCAGACACCTGTCTCTGAAGCAGTTTGAGCCGCTGGATGGTGTTTACATCCACTTGCAGCCGGAGTCCATGTGCACACTAATAGGCATAAAGATAACACTTTCCTCTATGACCCGTCTACAGTTTTGAAGAAATGTACTGAATGTATATGGCACAGCTTCAGGTTAGTTTACAGGCATTTAAACATTAAATGGAGGTGAAAACATTTTGAACCATTGAGAGAACACAGTTACAGGTTCAGATTAAACCATGCTATATGATGAAAATACAGATGGAGTTTCACAGTGAGCAGGCAGTGCAGAAATGTGTCCTAGAGCAGTTTTCAGGAGAGGCCGCAGTGTTAAAAGATTTCTGGTGATGATCCACTATTACACCAGTCCCATACTACATATTTGGTTGCCACCCTTCAGGTCCATATTACAATATGACCAGGTGAAGAATAAAGACCCATTCTGGTCAATTTCTCTTGACTCACGTCTTTATTCATGAAACAGCCACACATGAGAAATAGTATAACATCTGCTTAATTCTCCTTTTCCCCACCAGCCTGCTACACCAAGTTTACCTCTACACACTGAGACACTACAGTCTACAAACCTGAAATAACTGTGTAAGTGCTCAGGTTCATTCACTAACACTAAAGACCAAAAACAAGCCAGAAATCTGGGTGTAGTCCTGGACTCAGACCTGAACTGTAACATCCACTTTAAAGGATACGGAGTTGTATGCTGGAACACAATGGAAGTCTATGGCACACAGCAATGAGTTGGA